TATATATATATTGCAATTATTCACTCATTTTGAATTTGATGCCTGCAGCCTGTTCCAAAACAGCTGGTACAGGGTCATGTTTAGCACTGTGTTACATCACCTTTCCATTGAACAACACTCCATAGGCATTTTGGAACTGAGGGCATTAATTGTTGAAGCTTTGTTGGTAGAATTCTTTCTCATTCTTGCTTGATGAACAACTTCAGTTGCTCAACTGTCTGGGATCTCCATTGTTGTATTTTGTGCTTCATAATGCTCCACATATTTTCAATGGGAGTCAGGTCTGGACTGCAGGTAGACCAGTCTAGTACCTGCACTCTTTTTCTACGAAGCCACACTGTTGTAACACGTGCAGAGTGAGACTTGGCATTGTCTTGCTGAAATAAGCGGGACATCCCTGAAAAAAGACATGGCTTGGATGGCAGCATATGTTGCTCCAAAACCTGTATGCACCTTTAAACAGTATTGGTGTCTTCACAGATGTGACAGTTATCCATGCAATGGGCACTGATGAACCCCCATATCATCAGAAAGGCTGGATTTTGAACATTGTGCTGAGAACAATCCAGACAGTCCGTTTCCTTTTTGGCCATGATTTCCAAAAACAATTTGAAGCTCATCAGACCACAGGACACTTTTYCACTTTGTGTCAGTCCATCTCAGATGAGCTCGGGTCCAGAGAAGTCAGCAGCATTTTTGGGTGTTGTTGATCTATAGCTTTGACTTTGTATGGTAGAGTTTAACTTGTACTTGTAGATGTAGAGACAAACTGTGTTCATTGACAATGGTTTTCAGAAGTGTTCCTGAGCCCATGTGGTAATATATATGTTACAAAATTATGTTGGTTTTTTTAATGCAGTGCCTCCTGAAGGATTGAAAGTCATGGACATTCAGTGTTGGTTTTCAGTCTTGCTGCTTACTTTATCCAGATCCTCTGAATCTTTTGATGATATAATGGACTGTAGATKATGAAATCCTTAATGTTCTTGCAATTATACATTGAGAAAAAAATATTCTTAAACTGTTGGACTATTTGCTCACACAGTTGTTCACAAAGTAGTGAACCTCGCCACATCCTTGCTTGTGAACGACCGAGCCTTTTGGGGATGATCCCTATATCCAATCATGACACTCACCTGTGGAATGCTTCAAGCAGGTGTAATTTAAGAATTCCTTGGTCTTTTGTTGGCCTTGTTCCAGGCATCAAAAAAATCAAATAAAGTTAAAACTTTACACATCTTGTCTTTGTAGTGTAYTCGTTTGAATATATGTCAAAAATGATTTGCAAATCATTATATTTTGTTCTATTTGTTTTACACAATGTCCAAACTTTGTCGGAATTGTAGGATGGAAACTCTTTTTCTCCAAACTGAAACTGTTCAAATGATATCTATTGACAAAAGGTACAAAATCAATCATTTGTTTCCCTGTTTTTACTTTTCTGTGCATTTTTTGCAAAGCACCCATCTAAACTTTGTACAATATTACCACAAAAGTATCTATATGTAATCTTCACATTTCAAAGTGTTCAGCTTGTTCAAGACATGAATGCTTTGCTACCTTAACTTTTACCTAGTGTTTGTTACTTTTAGCTAGCCTTTAGCTACTTTTAGGTTTTAGTTAGCCTTCTGCTGTTTAAATTAATGTTTTGTTACTTTTAGCTTCTAATTAGCATTTAGCTTAATTGAGTTCATAGCTCTGCTTCCTTTAGCTTTACTAAGTAACTTTCCTCTCTGTTAGCAAATTTCAGTAGTCATTGAGCACTCTGCAGAAAATTGTATTTTTTGTTGTTCTTCAAACTTCTTTTTTCCAAACCTACTTCAAAATGGTTGAAATCTCTCAAGAATGTCTTTTCTTGGGCCACAAAATCAGTCCAATCAGTTATGCTGATATTACGCAGATAACTAAAAGAATTAAACAAGAGCTTCCTGTTGAAATGCTTTTCTTTGAAAAATCGTGTGTGTATGCCTGTTCTTGGTCGGCTCTGAAGTGACCCTGAAATGAGCAAAGAAAAAGAAGAGTGGAGGTCGCTGAGCTGAAACGTTTTCATTAAAAYATCAAAAGCGGGACTTGTGTCAGCTTGCTCAGTTCTTGTTCTTCAGAGAAGTCAAATTTATTAGTTTGTAGTTGTGTTGAGAACTTCCAACAATGTTTCAGTTCTCTCTAAAGTCGGGCACTAGCTCCCCACACCCCCCAGGGAAACACTTTCCATATGTAACAATGCAAAACCCGCACAGTCAGGAAGGAGCAGTTCTATAAATAAACAAACTATGGAGCTCTGTCACCTTCACAAACAAGTGGAAAGCTTATTAGAAACAGTCCTGAGTAGCATTTGTTCAAATAAGTATTTACCTTTGTTTCCTTTTTTCAAAAGGAACACATTTAAGGATGTTATCTCTTTTCTGTACAGTTTGCTGTGCTGTTCATAAATTACAGCCTCACATATACTCAGTTTTTTGCTTATAAATCAGTTTCTCACAGCTCCATACAGTCAAATCCCATTTAAAAGATTCCCGCGGGACTAATTTGTGGAATATTTTTTTGTTGGTTTTGCATCTTTTCCTCATGACTACAGTAGCAGTTTGCAGCTGATAGAGTCAGGCCGAGTCCTCCTTCAGCAGCGAGCTGTCACAGGAGATATTCCCCTGGCATGTCTGTCTTGTAATGTCCCACTCTGCATCTACACCGAGCCCTGGAGGACCGGTGGACCTCGTACAGTAGAGCTGTCACATCTGCAGCTCTGACCTGCTTGTTTACTGACTCCTGCAGTGAAAAAAAAAGAGAGAACGAAGAACAGGACTGGGCAGGAAGGATCAGCTGGAGACATGATGGACTGCGGTGGAAGTGAGACCACGGCRGAGGTGAAAACACTTGCATCTCTGTTGACACATCAGGAGGCCCCATCTCTGAGCGGTTTCCCCACATCACATTATTTGTCTGTTCCTCTCTGGCACATTTTGCTCTTGTTGCATTATGATCAACTCTTCTGAGTTGTGAGGAAGCCAATCTTTGGGTCTACTTTGCTCTAAATTGCCCAATTTGTTTGTTTTCTCCACCTATTTTTTTTTTTACCCACAAATTAATTCCCTACGGTACAATTCTTGAGAAAAACAGACTTTTCCAGCCACTGTTGCTTCAAAAACGCGTCAGGCAGGTCTTAAGAAACTCAGTCAATTATGCTTTGCTGGATGAAAGAGCTCAGAGCGTGGACACTAAACGAACGCTAACACCCTGTTTACTTTTTTTTCCTTCCCCACCCCACAGCTCAGGCCTAAACTGGGTGTGTGTGCAAGTTTTTTCTCTTGGGGAGCTTTGAGAGGTTTTCACCTTTTCTCTCCATCAGCTGGTGACATAAACGCTCTGATCAGGTGACACTTTTTGGCAAGTCACAGCTGAAGATGTGTGTGAAACCAGGGTGTTGATGAATTCCCACTAGATTTGTCTCACCTTTTCCATTTCTGCACTATTTTTCACTTTGAGCTCCTGCATGTCGACTCTGTAACTGAGTTGTATTCATAGAGAAATCATAAACGTGAAGCTTTTTTCCCTTCTTGTCAAACACCTTTTTTATTACAAGAATCATTTCCTTTATTTCACCCTGCGCRTGTCTCTGTGTAACAGCAGGTCAAAGCCTACTTTGAGAAGCTCTTGTACAAAAGGGAAAAAAAGTACAATTATGGGTCATAATGAACATGGAGTAATCTGCATGAAACAGGGTTCTAAACTAGTCTCAGGGGGTTTAATTATGGCTAAACATCAAAATCAGCTAGAAAGGCTAATGTTCCCCCCTCAGTTTGACCGACTGGTCCAGCAGACTGGTAGTTTGCTTTCAACAGTGGAGCAGCTCTGGAGCAAAAATACAACATTAATACAGATTTTTCTGATCATTTCTCCTTGTCCCACTTTGTTCTTCCTCCACACTTACGTACATAAAACATGTGAAAAAGACCTCAGAAGACGTGCAGCCCTCCGACTCAGCTTCACAATGCTTTTGATAATTTCTTCCTACTCTGAACTTCTCTTTGAGCTTCCAGTGCTGCCTTGATTTTACTTTTATTGTGAAATACAGACACATCTTGCTGTTAGCTCCAACTAAAATATGACACACATTAAAAAAAAGTAAATACCTTTCAGTCTGCAGTTCGGTCAGTGTTGCTCCCTTTCATATCCGCAGTGACCTCCTTGATAGACCAGATGGAAAAATAAAATTTAAAATTTAAAAAGGAGTGAGGAGCAGGATTTTAAAAACTGACTGATCCAGTTGAGAAAATGCAGATTAGGATATTTCAGAAAAGCTTTTGTATGTTTTTGCCTGTTTCAGAATCACATTTTGCTGCCTACAGAGAGGCTGCCGGAGCTACTGGATTGTGCGTCGTCTCTTTCTGTTTGTTCTTCCAGCTCCTCGATGCCCTGGTGGAGCTGCTCTCTCTTTCTCCCTCTCTCTCCCTGCCTCACTTCAGCTGTTAGACTGATCCCTCAGCTTCGCTCTCTTTACTCTTCGTGTGCACACCTTTCATCATTCATCTGCCACTTTCCATTCTACCCTGTGATTTTTTTTCCTGCACCCAAAGAGTTCTTTGTTTCAATTATCTCCAATTTTCTTCATTACTCGCTTCCAAACTCTGCCTTTCTCCTCTCCCACTGCGTCACGGCAGTTTCTTGCTCATTATTTTAGCCACTCATCAATCAAATGCTCTTGTCCTCTGATGTGATTCCCAACTTTTCACTGGCGTG